TAGATTGGAATCATAAGTAAACCTGCTAGCAGAAGTTAGTTGAAAATTGTCATTAAATATTTGCAATACTTAATAATATGGTTGTGAGCTGTACATAATTATATGAAAATTTACATACTTAGAATCTGTGTTAAGAAAAATAATTAATAATGTAATAATTTTTTACTTGCAGGTGATACTGCAGCTTCAGGGTCTGAGAAAGGTCTAAGAACATGGCTAAAGAGGTCCAACCTTGTAGACTCAAGAACCTCTGTGACTGATGTCAAATTTGGACCAAAACATTTAGGTCTCTTACTAGTCACATGCTCTGCTGATGGAATTATAAGGTAAAAGATACAAATATTCGAGTTTGATGCATTAATTATTTACATTATGATACATCAAATTACACAACAAGTGTGGAAAAGCCATGCTTTGGCACGAATGGGGCATGTTCTTAAATTTTTAAATCCATAATACACCCTACAAGAGGCCGGCATCGCATTTGTAGTAACTCCTTTGCGAGTATTCAAAGCAATCCACAATCTTGTTAGTTAACATGTGCAATTAATAAAATGTATGTATAATGATTTCGATTTCGGAATCAAATACAACTTAAAGTATAATGGTATTTGTGTTGTACTAACTTTGTACAAATTTTAACACAAATAAATATTTACCTTCTTATCACCCAGTGTGTAGTGTACAAAATATCAGCTTCCTGATAGTGTGTTGTCCTTAAGGGATCAGGATCAGGGATTTAGAGATTTAGGGATTGGAAAGGGAGTAGGGGGAAGGTATGGGCCTCCAGTAACCTCACTCACACAGTGAAACACAATGCTTTGGTTGTTTCACACCCGTTTTCTGTGAGGCTGTGGTATCACTCCAGTCGAGCGGACGCATTCGTGCCGAAGCATGTGTCTCCTACACTTCCACATCATTCATCATTAATCATCAATAAATCACTTTTAAGACAATACTCCGACTATGAGTGGGGTGATAAATATCTTATTTACACAACAACTAATATTTATATTACAACTAATAGTATTTACATCAAATATGTCTAATATCTACATGAGTACAGTAAACAACGTATATTAATCATAATTTGTCTTATACTTGGTTTGTAATCCAGGATATATGAAGCTCCAGATGTGATGAACCTTGCACAATGGACTCTACAGCATGAGATACCAACCAAAGTGTCTATCAGTTGTCTCTCGTGGAACCCTTCACTGTCCAGGTAAACATAACATGCCTTCTTCTTCTTCTTTAGTCTTGGTTTAAACCATTGAGTCAGGTTTTGTATATCAAACTGAATGTAGGTGAGAATAAGATTCAAAATACAAAATAAATAGAAATAAAAATGTTGTTTGTGACACTCTTTGAATCTGGCGATATTGCAATTTTTGTGTTTATCCCAGTTGGGGTCATTTGTTTTTAAATAAAGTCTCCTGGTCAATTTTAATCATGGTAGGCCCATCAAAGATAGGACATATTGTAGTTCACAAGTATCTGTGCAAACACAGATGGAGTCTCTGTTCTTTCACTGTCTGAATCCAATGGAACGGCAGCCGATACAACTGCAGAGACGTCGGGCATTAGACAAATGGTTTTATGTACCTACTTTCCGAGGCATGAGGATAGAACATGACCGTATTTCCTGATTCCGGGCTAAGTGACTATTATAATTATATAATCGAAAGAATAATTATTTTATCTTGTATTTTAATTTTAATATCTAAGGAGTAAGAACGCATGCTACATCCAAGCGATCTAATTACAAGTCAATGCTATCAGTCATGCAGTGAACATAATGATGTGATGATGGTAAATGTTTTTTTTAATTATTATTGTTAGGGTGGTGCACCCGCCGATGTTGGCAGTGGGCAGTGATGAACCTAATACAACAAACGCGGTGGCTACAGTGCAGGGCGACAAGACGACCGCTTGCAATGGAAAAGTATTTATATACGAGTGAGTATACGCAGCAATTTGCGTTCCATACATACAACAGTGACGGGCCAATGTTTTTCATTGGATTTTCGACTATATTACAAAATAGTAAAGTTAGAAATAACTTGGTGGGTTGGTTAACCAACCCACCAAGTTGTTTGGGCACTCTACACGGTAATAATAATAATTATTATTTATGATAGTAATCCTACTAATGTTATAAATGTGTAAGTTTGTGAGAATATATGTATGGATGTATGTTTGTTATTCTTTCACTCAAAAACGACTGGACCGATTCGGTTGTAATCTATAGTAATATTATAAATTGTAGAGTATGTTTTTTTGAACGCGCTAATCTCCGGAACTACTGGTTCGAATTGAACAATTCTTTTTGTGTTTGTTAGACCATTTATCGAGGAAGGCTGTAGGCTATAAAACATCACGCTACGATATGTAGGAGCCGAGCAGCGGGTGAAGCCGCGGGACAGTAGCTAGTTCAAATATTTAAAAGATAAATATGTATTACAGGTACAGTGAGTCGTCCCGTCGTTGGACGCGGACGGACTGCCTGTCGTCGGTACAGGAGCCCGTCAACGACATCGCCTTCGCCCCCAACCTCGGCAGATCATTCCATTTGCTCGCCGTAGCCACTAAAGACGTCCGCATCATCAAGATAGAACCAGTAGCGTAAGTGGAATCATATCATCGCCTGATATTGGGCCTTGTTCTTTCTGAACTGGGTCTACTGTGCAAAAATATTTGTAATATTCCTGCAATCAAGCAGAGTTTTTTTTTTGTGAGGGGAAAATCATCAAATGACTTCTCCCGCCCAGGGCCGGGCAGGAGGGAGTGTCAGACTCTTACTGACTAAAAACCCCCCCTGAAAGTTCCTTCTCCTGCTCTGGGCCGAGGTCGCGGTGCCTCATTGCGCTTACCCCGCAACCCCGGATCAACTGATGGTAGGCAATTGACGTCGCCCATGAACACTTGCAACATCAAAATAGTTACGTAGCCGGTTTTTTGGGGTTAAAGATTTGAGGATTGGAGATTGGGTATTTAGGGAAATACCCAATCTCCAAGGGGTCGCAGGGTGAAACATATATCGGCGTGTTTTCCAATGGGCATTAGTACCCAAGGTTTCCCATGCTGAGAAGTCTGACATCATCAGACTTAGACAGTTTAGTTTTGGGACAGTTGCCTTATTTTTAGGGGTTGGAATAATATAATGAAGCTTTTATAGGGTCGGTTGGGTAAGTGTGGTTGGTTTGTTAAAGAAAAAGCTGGAAATAAAAGATTGTGTGTTGCAGTGAGTCGGCGGGGTCGGGCAACAATGGCGCGGCGGTGCGGTTCAAGTGCGAGGTGGTGGCCGCCTTCGAGGAGCACTACTCCTGCGTGTGGCGCGTCTGCTGGAACCTCACCGGCACTCTGCTCGCCTCCTCCGGGGACGACTGCGCTGTCAGGCTCTGGAAGAGTCAGTATACCAACCACTATTTTTTTATGGCATACAGCGTCACCTAGCAGATGGATTGTTGGATCACCTGATGGTAAGTAAATGGCGTCGCACATAGCCACCCGCAACACCAGAATTGCGTTGTCAGCATTTTAGAGATTGGGCATAAGGAGATGGGGTGAGGGGTACTTTCTTTATCATCATTATCTACAGGAAGTCCACTGTCACACTCCGCCCATAGACAGCAGTTGTCAGCATTTTAGAGATTGGGGGTTGGGATTAACGAGATGGGAGGGAGCTTTCTTCCCAGCAACACAACGACATGCGCATTGTCAACATTTTAGGGATTGGGGATAACGAGATTGGGGGACGGGTAATTGCTTCATGAACATCAGCAAGTGCGTTTTTGGCCTTTTTATATTATTATAGGTAGGTATATTGTACCTTGATGATTGTTCGTGACTTATCATTTCAACGCAATGAGCTCTGCAACGGCATCTGTTTAAATTCAGATGGCGACTACGGTTTTATCCTCAGCTTTGCCAAATAAATGTTATGTAATTGATCGTTGTCTGTTTCAGTGCAATACCTGAACCAGTGGAAATGTGTAGCGGTGTTCAAGAACGAGCCAGTCCCGGGCGACTCCCCGCCTTTGTCCCGGCCCCACACGACGTACATCCGCATGGCCACGATGGCCAACCCCTCGCACATGCCCTTCCACTGACGCCGTGACGTCGCCCAGCGCCACGGTCAGTTCATAGTGTTACATTCTTACATGTTACCAAAAAATATGGATCTACACTTTAAAAATAATCAAAATCATTTATTTCAATGTCAAGAATAAATGAATTCTACGTTTCAATACAGTAAAATATTATTTAATAACTATAGTTTTATTCATCGATCTGTCGATACATTAAGTTCTTGATATTGTCTCAAAAAACGTTGAAATTATAGTCAGAATTTTAATTCTATTCCAGATTTGACATTAGCTACTATCATTTTGTGAAATAATGATACAATCGTTGTCTCTAATTATGGAACGAACGAGTTTACGAGAGTAAATTTATAAACGAGAGGAATCGATTCAGAAATATTCCATTTCCATATCGAATAATTTCGCAACGTCATTATTTAGTACTTGTCATAACGTTGCAACACTGATATTGTCAACTCTGGATCCAAATAAAATTCCGAGTATATAGTACCTTGTTTTTTCATCTTACTGCAAGTGTATTTTTGGCGTGTGATTGCTGCGTAAATAAAAGTACGAGTCGTAATGCACATCTTATATTAATCTTTCAATAGAATACATGCAACAAGCATAACATAACACTCTATTATTTAGTATTTCAATGTAAAAAACGCATTATAATTATAAACGTAACAAAAAAACTAGTTCAAAAAAGATTACTTTGAAGTCGAGCGTAGTATATAGTAAAAGTGCTTCATTCGCTTAACATTAACATAAGTATTGAGGGTAGTACGCCAAATTTTGACTAAAGTCCGCTGTGCACTGACGACTAATCGCAACTTTTCAAGTTAGTGTCGGGTTAGTGTAGTGCCCGGCGGTGCGCGAATGTAGGCGGGGAGATGGTACGCGACATGACGTTCACTTCATGGGCGCCGTGCGTCTCAGTCGCTGCAGGTGCGCGGCGTCCTTGCCTATACTCCGCGTGGAGTACCAGCCCACCGGCATGGCCCGCTCGCTCTTACACTGGCTGTTTGAAGACGAGTGCGGACTCACGATGTTGCTGTATATAAAAAACATTCATTATATTACTATACTAAAAAAAGCTTTGAAACTAAACTATATTATTTGCCAATAGTCAGAATTTTAATTCGATTCCTGATTTGACATGACCTACTGTCATTTTGTGAAATAATGATACCACATATAACAGTGTAGTGATGAACACAAAAATCGATAAACAATCAGTGAATCAGTTTCAGGAAGGCATTCAAAAAATTACGGCTACCGAATGGTCTAAATGCGTATCCCATGTTGTCAAAGAAGAGGAAAAAATGAGTAAGCTAGATATGTTAATTGAGAATAAAAATCTCAGACACAATTCATAAAAAATGTTACAGAAAATAACAGCGATAGCGATAGCGATGACGGCGACAATTTATAAAATTTCTGTTTTATTTGTCATGATCACTGAAATTGCCAAAATCTGGAATGGAATTAAAATTCCGAGTATAGATTCAAACACTTTTAGAAGTCAAAAGTTCATGTTGGTAAGAACAGTAAAATATGTAATCTACTAATTTTATAAAGGCAAGAGTTTGAACACGCTAATCTCCGAAACTACTGGTTCGAATTGAATAAATATTTTTGTCATTTCTTGAGTGCTACTCAGTCTTTATAAAACACCAGGCTACAATTTAATAAGAGCAGCGGTTCCAACCGCTTGTAGCTAGTAAGTATAATGTGGAATCTGTAGAGTGTAGGAAAGGTTTGCTTACCCCAAGGAGGCCCGTTTGATGGTTGTGGTATTGCTCTGCAGTATGATTCTGGGCGGTGGCGTGCCCAGCGTGCCGCCAGCTCGCCAACTGTAACGCGCGGGACATTCATATACTAAGTACCGGCTACAGAGCGACTACTCGTTTGAGTCTTCTTTATAAATATTTATTGAGGCATTAATTTACTAAATGTGTCAGTTGAGCTGATAAAAAAAAATATTGGCAGTGTTGCTCGTAATGTTCTTTTTGTGAGGGGAAAATCATCAAATGACTTCTCCCGTCCAGGGCCAGGCGGGAGGGAGTGTCAGACCCTTACTGGCCAAAAACCCCCCTGTTCCTTCTCCTGCTCTGGGCCGAGGTCGCGGTGCCTCATTCCGCTTACCCCGCAACCCCGGTTGAACATAAGGCTTCGTCTGTAGTGGTCTATTGGGTCTTAGAGGCGCGCGCGGAACGCTACGCGCCGTATGCTCGGGAAGCTCGTAATGTTGTATTGTAGTAACTGACCTGGGTAGTCCGTCGCCTGCCTTCCTGTAGAACTCTGCGCGCTTGTCTCCGAGTCTGTTGGGGCAGCTGTTGTGTCGGACTGTCCGGTCGTCGTCCAGGCTCACCTTCCTGACACACGGCATCCTCACATTTTTACTCCGCGACACCTTCTTGGCCTCGTTGACGTCGCTGTTGGAATGTTCGTCGATGCTAGGCAGGCGCGGGTCGAGGCCGCAGTCCCCGTTGTCGTACCCCGCGTACCCGGCCTTCTTCACGCCGTACAGGCTGCACAGCGGCCGGCTCATCACCCGCGGGCTCTGCAGCTGGATCTTCTTGCTGGCGCGCTCCGGAACGGGCTTCGGGATACTTTTTATTTGCGTCTCGACGCTTCTGCTAACATATTTAGAGTCCACAGGTCGCGGCGGTGGAGTGCTCGGAATCCGTATCTTTTGTGTGACTACTTGTATTTTCGGAGGCGAGGCCGTCGTGGGTAGGTGGTGGGCAGGCGTGGAGGCACGCGAGGTGGTGGCGCGGTCGGGGTCGGGGTGGGGATGGGGGTGGGGGTGCGCGGTGTGAGCGCGGTACTCGGGCGGGGACAGAGGGCGCGGCTCGGGCGTGGCGGCGCCCCACAGCAGGTCGGGGCCGGCCGCCGCGCCCTGCTGCTGCAGATGGCACTTGATGTTGTACATGCCGCCCAGGGGACCGAACGGCTCCGACTTTATCTCCGCGACCACGTCTATCACGGGCATGGCGCACAGCTCCGATATCTGCCTGTATATCTGCAACAACACGCATTAAACTGACTGACACCGGTCAACCCTAGTGTAGCGAGGCGGTCGGGCTTGGTATTACCTCTCTGTTGGCGACCGGGTCTATAGTGCCGAACGGGTGTGTCTTCATCCTCATGCCAGGTCTCCGCACCCAGCGATGACGAGATGCTTCTTCTATCTTCATTCGGAGTTCTACGTTTGGCTCCAACAGATGTTGAATAAACGCCTTACATTCTGTGGACAATGTTTTATATTCTAGTCACCAATCATGTTTCTTTTTTCAGGACCAAAATGAGCGCGGCTTTTGGAGCTGGTATCCAAACGTCGTGGGGTTTGAGTGTCCGTGCAGTGAGCCCAAAGACATTCGGTGACACTGTGAATGAACTGTACACTAACATTATCGACCTATTTTACCTATTCCACAGGCTGACCGCAGCCCTATGTTGATTGTAATATTTTTAAACCAACGTATTATAAGTTCTTGTTTTTATAATTTTGAAATTAAATATAAAACAATGTAAGTGAATAGTGTTTACTTTTATTTTAACATCCCAGTAGTTTCTCTAATGAATTTTCAAACAATTCTAATTAATTTATTTTTAGGGGCAAATAAAACATTAATAACTTATAGAAGACTGTGTCACATTTTATTTAAATATAATGTCATCACTTACGCTCAGTTTCCGAAAGGCCGATCAATGTTAAAATCATTTTAATCTTTTGTCAAGTCATCTGATTGGTTGACTGAATTATCAACAACCAATCAGATGACTTGACAAGAGATTTAACAGGAGATTAGTTAATTTTAGCGTTGACAAGCCTTTCAGAAACCGGGTGTTAGCCAAATAGAAAATAGTAACAGATAAATTGATTCACATCACGACAGCATATAATTTATGCACTTATACGGGGCCATGTACGGGGTAAATCTTTTTTTGATAGTGGATTCATCCTGGTTGGGGGCGAGTAGGAGTGTCAGATTCTTACAGACTAAAAACCTCTCCGTTCCTACTCCTGCTCTAGGCCGAGGCCGCGGTACATTATTGCGTTTAACCTGCGTTAGTATATCGTCAAATGTATTGAAATGCCAAAGTATACCTAGGAAAAGTGTGCGATTCGATTAAACTACTTTTATAGGGAATGATGATCAGTGATGTTTAAGTAGCAGTAGTAAGTAGACTTGTGGCAATACAATGATGGAAAGACATGAAGTGGGCGTGACAATTTATTGTAGCGATCACGTTTTAGCGATCTAGTGCGGAGCGCGTGTAGTAGTGTATAGTGCATAGTGCGGACCTGGAGTGACGCATTGTGTAGTGTCGGGCCTGGAGTGACTCATTGCATAGTGTATAGTACGGACCTGGAGTGACGCGTTGCATAGTGTATAGTGCGGACCTGGAGTGACGCATTGTGTAGTGTATAGAGCGTACCTGGCGTGACGCATTGTGTAGTGTATAGAGCGTACCTGGCGTGACGCATTGTGTAGTGTATAGAGCGTACCTGGCGTGACGCATTGTGTAGTGTATAGAGCGTACCTGGCGTGACGCATTGTGTAGTGTATAGAGCGGACCTGGAGTGACGCATTGTGTAGTGTATAGAGCGTACCTGGCGTGACGCATTGTGTAGTGTATAGAGCGGTCCTGGAGTGACGCATTGTGTAGTGTATAGAGCGTACCTGGCGTGACGCATTGTGTAGTGTATAGAGCGTACCTGGCGTGACGCATTGTGTTGTGTATAGAGCGGACCTGGAGTGACGCATTGTGTAGTGTATAGAGCGTACCTGGCGTGACGCATTGTGTAGTGTATAGAGCGTACCTGGCGTGACGCATTGTGTAGTGTATAGAGCGTACCTGGCGTGACGCAGGCTAGTGCGGCGCGTTGCTTGCGCGTGAAGCCGCGCGAGATGGCGGCGCGCAGCTGTGGTTGCGACTTGTCGGCGCCGGTATCCGCGCCCGTGAATGGAAGTCCGCCTGTCACCATGCCGTACACGATCACACCTCTGTAACATTCAACTTTATATTTCCATTCATATACATCAGAATAATCCGTCTATTTGTCAATGTTTCGTCGAATCAGCTACGTTTTAAAAGTAAAAAATACACTAAAGGCAACTATGCTATATTGTCCCACGTTAATGATAGTTAATGTACCATGTCTACCTACTACTTAATATAAAATGCAGGAGTAGGTTTGAGCAGATAAAGTGAGAAATATACATGCTCCATAAGTCGACTTCAGGTCCGTATCGTCGGCCGTCCACGAAGAGTTCAGGAGCCGCGTACTCCAGCGATCCGCACGGAGTCCGCAGCGCCGCCCCGCCGCTCCACATATTTGACAACCCGAAATCTGCCAGAAGCGAAATCGTATAATTAAAAAAAAAATTACTCGAAGTTAGAAGTCAAAGTACGTCAATATCGTTACATAGTAAAGAGGTCTCACCGACAATTTTGATGAATTGCTTAGTACTGTCCAACATGATGTTTTCCATTTTTAAGTCACTGAAAAAAGTAAAGCATTGATCATCTGATCATAATGCGATTTCACGTAGTTCATTACGAAATAGTGGTAATTCTTACAGCGTAACAGTAGAAGGATGCTCTTGCCATTAAGTCTCGAGTGGCGCCAAACGAGCAGATGGATTACCTGATGGTAAGAAATCGGCACCACCCATGGACACTCGTGATAACAAAGGAGTTCCTAAGGCGCAGTCTCTTGTGGGTTAGTGGGGATTTAAGGATAGAGGATGGCAGCGAGGAGGATTTGGCCTCTGGTTACCTCACTTACACGACAAAACACAACGTAAGTGTTGCTTCAAATCGGTTTTCTGTGAGGCCGTGGTATCACGCGTCTAGCCGGCCCATTCGTGCTAAAGCGTGGCCGGTGGCACACACACTCACACACAAATTGTTTAAATAAACATATAGAAGTAGTAAATAAATTGAGGGCGTGGTACCGATGCACGACGCCGCGCGCGTGCATGTGTCGCACGGCGGAGACGAGCTGCGCGGCGAGGGCGCGCGCGCGTCCCTCGGGCAGGCCGCGCGCCGCGCTGCGCGCCCCCAGCACGTGCGCACACAGGTCGCCGCCCCCCGCCGCCTCCATCACCACGTACAGCCGGGGCCCGTGCTGCAACCACAACGCTCACTGCAACATCTACCGCGAGCTTCTAACTATGTTTTACTGAATCTGCCCCAACAACGACAGCATACTCGCAACAATCTACATCATCAGCCTATAAGTGCCCACTGCTGCGCAAAGGCCTCTTCTCACACGGAAAAGGTTTGATCATTAATCACCACGCTTGCTCAAGGCGGATTGGCGATTTCAACTTATAAGTCCAGGTTTCCTTACGATGTTTTCTTTCATCGTATGTCATTGGAGTCTAAATATTCATAGAAAGTAGGTACCTACATATAATTCGGAAAGTTACATTGGTACTTTCCAGGTTTTGAAGCCTCGGGGGGCCACCACGACGTTGAACAAACTACAGTGAAACTGAAGTCGGAGAATTTAAGTAGTTCTCAGTCACCACCGGTGGCGATTGAGAATTTTTATTGGCAAAACATCATCATCAATTAAGCATTCCCTACATTGGGTTTATTTGCCACAACTAGGCTTGACAGACATAAAGAAAACTACTTAAAAGATTCAGTTTATCATAAAAATCGTTGTTGTCTTGTCTCGGGTGTGGTGTGCAGCATTAGCCGGCTCTCGAGATCCCCACGTCACAGCCAACATTACCTCAAAATCAAATCCCCACTTATTTTCCTCAACCGCTTTATTTGGGCGAGGAAATCAAAGTTTAATCAAGTCTTATTGAGAATCTTCATCAAGGCAATATAACTTCAGAATCTAACCATCATAGTTTCGTAGAGAGCCGCGATGCACGGGTGCCGTAGCTTTGCCATCACCCTCGGTTCACGGTGCAAGTTCCGACGGGCATACTCTTCTTTAATACACGTCAGATCTATGATCTTGATAGCAACCTTAAAAAAGATAATATATTGTTACATATTCGTCATCTGGTGGTAAGTTAGAACTCACGTTAACACGCGTCGTTAATTCACAAACGTAATCCTTCAGACAGTTCGGTGAGACAAGGCCATGCCAAGAATGCAAACGAGAGATATTGACGTGTCACATCATTTAGTAAACTAAGCCAAGGACATCTAATCTTTCACTCAGGGTCACTGCGCTTGTTCCACGTCTAGTGTTCATGTCCAAGAACTAACTGCGACAGTTACTGACGCATTAAAATTTAAAGATTCGGTACCTTCTTTCCTATTATCCTATGTGTGGCTTCTTCAACTCTTGCAAAGTGTCCTTTTCCCAGTACCTTGCCAGTCAGCAGATAATTTCCAACACTATATACTTGTCCCTTATTCCTGGTCATATTGGCAGTCTTCATACTTAACAATACTCACTAATTTCGATTCATCATTAGTTTATTTCTAACGCGAAAAAAACGTATTTATACTAAGAATACAAATTACACGTTTTCCGAGACGATAATTATCGTATTTACTTGTAAACGTCATAATAAATGCTTGGGTACCATCTTTTGTTTGGTCTTTGAAATTGGAACTATTTATTGACGGGCGTGACATTTGATTGGACTATTTTTAACGGCTAAATGTAACTGCCAGTGCCCCTGCGCGTTGAACGGCGACACAAAATAGGTTTCTTAATTAGCTTCACGTTTATTATCAATCAAGCGATTGTGATATCAAACGGGCCGCTCGCGTCCCGTTGGATCATACCTCCATAGATCCTATATAACTATACTAACTGATTAAAGATAGTAGGTACATATAGGTAACAGCAGCAAACTGTAAGTACAGCATTTTCTTAGCAGCAAAGGGTTCCTATCTATACATAAACCCGATAAAAATCCCTTTCTAGGATTTCGAAATTCTCCACATTATACTCTCTTCCGCAGGGTAGTTTCCAACTCAGCCGGGGTTGCGAGTCAAGCGCAAGAATGAACGGAGTGGTTTTTCGTCAGCAATGTAAAGTAAATGGAAAAGTCATATAACACGCTGCCTATGAAAACATACTTTATTTATACGTTTCTCTGACTTTTACCCTCTGTAAATCTTTGTAAATGCGGTAGAATAGGTATTCGCTGTTTTCAACCATCCAACCATCACCATCTGGTTGCATAAATAGATAGGATTCTGAGATGAAAGTTTAAATGTAGGCGGATAGTATGCATTGTATAGGTTCTAAAACAAGAGTTGGTAAATACCTTGTGATTTATGACACAAAGGCGTGGCGCTTACGATTAAGTAAAAAAAACAAACAACTTTAATAAACATTGTAAAAAAATATATTATTGTATAAAATTTGTTTGAACATGGAAATAATATAGCACGCTTACATAACACGTAATATAAGTATTTATAATATGTATAACATTATAATTAAAAGTATTAGTTCGCGAAAATTGTTCCCGAATTAGTCCAGATGACTTGGAGGGTTCGCGTTGGGCCACGAAGGCCAGGGGTAATTGGTTTACTGGGACAACTTTCTACATGAACAACAGGCACTCCAGCTGCTTCAAGTAATTCAACATTCGGGACTTTACTTGGAGTTTCAAGTGAGTAGAAAACTAACGCATTACCTTGTAGAGCCAAAGTAACTGCCAAACTTAAAGACCATTCGGTGGCGGGAAGGGCAATAAAACCTGCAGGCTTCCACAATCCCGTACAAGTATAATCTTTTCCAGTCTGCACAAAAGACTCGCTAGTCAAGTTCAGAAGTGACTTCCTTACGTGAGTATAGTCTAAGTTTTGTGGATCAGATAACATATATTTTTGTAATACATTCATAAGAATATCGCGACGGCTATCCAAATCCATTTTCGACCACGGCTGGGAGAGCTTGACCAGTTTGGCGATCCTATCATTTTTTTCGTTGAAAATTGTAGTACTGTGATATTTATCTTGGAGTACGGGGTGGAGTGCTCGTGCTACGAGAGGAGGTCCTCTGATGTCGCCGATATTGTTCACCCAAACTACGGCTGCGTTGGTATTCTGAGTGAATTCATTAATTTGAGCTATTCCATTTATCCACAGTGACAAGTAGTGAGGTTCGTCTTGTTGGAGTATGGATATCACTTCTTTCGCAGTCCTGTAAGCTTCGACAATGACGAAGGATTGCTGTGCTTCTACAACTTGCACGGGGTCTATGAGGAACGTCCGTCCTTCATAAGTGAGAGCTTGAGAACACAACACGCTGGGCCCAACAGCATTCTTTTCATTATTCTTTAAAGAACATTTCCAGTTAAGTGCGTCCTTGAATTGCTTGTAAACGCTTTCTTGAACTAAAATTCTGCGCAGGTACCAGGGCACCTGTAAAATGAGTTCGTTGATTAATTATAATAAGTGGTACATTATGTAGTTTATGTGTGGAAGAGCCATGCTTTGGCACAAATAGGTCGGCTCGACAACAGTTAAACAATAAAACAATGAATTTATTTTTGCAAATAGGCCATAAAACGGCACTTTTACACGTCAAATTATATGTGAAAAACTAGATGAAGCCGGTTGAAGTTGTACCTAATTCCTAAAAGGTCGGCAACGCACTCGTTACTCCTAAGTTGTTTACATGCAAGTATCCATGGGCGGCGTGTATTGCTTACCATCAGCTAATCCGCTGCTCGTTTGCCGACCTATTATATAAGAACACATAACTAAATAAGATCAACTGTCTAATAGCCGGTTTCCGAAAGCTCGATCAATGTTAAAATCAACTAACTAGGTGTCAAATCTCTTGTCAAGTCAAGTCTTAACAAGAGATTAAATTGATTTCAACATTGATCGGCCTTTCGGAAACCGGGTGTAAGTATATTAATTCAAAGTAGGTATACATTATATTTAAAAAGAGCTTACAGATACCTACTTAGCTCACGTGTGAACGGCTAGACCGACTTAGATAATTGTTTTATACTGAGTTTTGCTAATATTAGAAGCTTCCCAAAAAAGTATAAAGAAAACTTCAGCAGAGTAGAGAAGATAATCTGGTAGGTAACCTTTTCTAAAGTGGTTTGCTAACAAAACAAGTGGTTGACATCGAGGTAGCTGAATATACGTGGCAAACAGGGGCGGCACGCTAGAGAATAATGATTAAGTAAAATGAAGATAATGTTATGTACCTGTTTGGACGATGAGAGGAACTTATCAACTGCAGAGTCTACATCGGTATCCTCGGCAACAACGGCCACAGTACCGTACTCTGAAAGGAGAAAAACTGTTATTAGTAAAGTATAACGCAAAATACTTAGTCTCTTTTCTACTAATTCTACTTCTTATAAGCATTTTTAACAACACATTAAATACCTACATATAAGTAATTTTTTCCCGCTATTGTGAAACATTTTTCATAACTCGTCTCGTTTTCTCTTTTGAAGTTTTTTATTTAAGTATTATTTTATTCAGAAGTGTGTTGTAAAATCTTTATTGTACGCTAATGGAATTTGTGACAATTATTATTAATTTATTGTGACAGGGGTAGGTACTTACTGTTAACCACTGCCTGTGCAAGCTGGGAGTTGTGTCGACACTCTAACAATAGGCTCTTATATCTGAAAGAATATACAATGTTAAGAAAGTTGTCGTGGTGGCCCGGAGGTTAAGAAACCTGGCAAGTACCAATGTGATTTTTGCCTAGTTATATGTAGGTGCTTTCTATGATTATTTAGACACCACTGACATATGGTGAAGGTCAACATCCTGAGGAAACCTGGACTTACAATTTCTAATTATAAGTTTGTAATCGCCAACCCGCATTGAGCAAGCGTGGTGATTAGTGCTCAAACCTTCTCCGTGTGAGAAGAGGATTTTGCTCAGCACGTGGGCACTAGGCTGATGATGAAGAAAGTTGACTTGCAGAGACTATTGCTAAATCCCATTATGTAAGTTTGGTGTTTTATAATGTTGCATGTGAAGAAGATGTTGAAGAGCTATTTTTGATGATCAGGATCGACGTAATACAAAGCACTAAAAAAAACCTTGAGTGAGGTTACTGGAAGTCAAACCTTCCCCCCATCCCATATACTCTTAACTCTAATCCCTAATCCCAAAAAAGCCAGCAACAGTCGTGTATTGCGCGAATTTATTATAAAAAGGCGCGATATGTATGAAAAAAGTAAAGAATCTTAACTTGTTGACTCACCCAGCTTGATGGCAGAGAGTAACAAACAGGTGACAGATCGCCACAGGCTCCTTGGTGGTGGTGTAGAGGATGATATGGTCATGTTGTTTATGCACCATCATATACACCACTTGCGCCAAATTAAGAAGAGGATCGCCAACCATAAAATGTTGGTCACCTAAGAATTGAAATGAGAATTTTGATGAGCCACTTTGTTAGGGGGTACCTATAATACTATGGGAGGGGAGCAATAATTTAAAAAAAAAGGTAGACTATTTCATACGAGCAGAGAGTTTAACTGACTAACAAAAAGAGGTGTTGGAAATATAACTAAATTTTTCACATAAAAACTATGCATGGAGGCTTTTGTCCCTTTACAAAAATAGACTTTTTTAATGCTGTTTATTTTAATTATAACACAATTTTATACAATTCTTAACTTAATCTTAACATTGAAAAGATAATAACCCTTTTGTCATAATAGCTGATAAAATTTAACTTTTAATGATGTATGTAAAATTTTATTTTACCCCTTTGTGGTTCTGATATTCGAAGACCTGTTTTATTTTCTAAAAATATAGGTGGAGTAGAATGTATACCAATGAGCACATGAAATGTAGTAAATATCACAGAACAGAAAATTAAGTATTTTATATTCCATGGTAAATATTTAGTGCATACAAATTGTGTTCTATATTAAAATTTAACTCTTACATATTGGCTATTCTGCCATCATGGGACAGGACCTTAGTAACATTATATTTTCTAATGTGATAGATACAATATGTAAGGTACATTGCCATGAATTATGGATACTGAGTGCTGCCTTCTCTTATAATACTTACTTTTAATGTTATCAATGACATCTTTCTTAATTCCAAAATAGCTTTTGACATACTGGATGAGAACATTTAATTGTGTCTTGGTGTCTTCTATTGGTATTTTTCTGATGTGGTATTCCAACTGCGCAATTAGTTCACTGTTCTGTTTCAAGTTAGCGGCTAACTGCCACAGGATATTCTGGGTTTCATCATCATTGTATGAACCTAACACCTTTTTAAAAACTCCTCCATGTCTACTGGGGTTTTTCTTAACATTGGCATCATAGTCACTATACAACTCCGACAGTGCTTCATTCTTTTTTAAATATTCCTAAAAGTAGGTATATTAGTCTATCAGTTGTATATTTAAATTTATTTGAATTAATTATATATTACATTGGTTATTGAGTTAAACAATGCAATTATCAAATGTAAGTTAGTTTCCCAACAACTTTTATAGTCTGTGTTCCAGTTACATCTTATTTGTAGTTATTATTCTTATAATGTTGCTGCTAATGGTCAAAACATAAATTATTACCCATAAGATTTAAGATAGAATAAAAAGTTGGTATAATGAATGTAAGAGAAACTAATTTAGTTAAGTTCTACTATGTAACAGTTACACCACCAAGGATTATTTTCAGGGAGTGTCAACCTCTTTAGTAGTCTGTTTTGTGATTATCCATAGTTAAATTAAAAAAAATAAGTATAATCTACAGTGGCTTAAAAACAAAAAACTGGTTACCTGAGCAAGACTTGTATCTACTGTCATTTTGGAAAATGTTAGTTCCATAATAAAATTGTTAGACTTCGGCTACGGAGTGTTCTTAAATCTTAAATAATGAATGATAAAGCAGTCAGATGTTCACAAGCGGTGTTGATAACGCTGATAATAAGTAGCAGCGACGTCGATAAGGTCAAATGTCACAAACTTTACAGATTGCCTCTATTCTCTATTATTTTTTCTACATTGACAACTTAAACAGCTTACAATTTTAATTAATTTAATATTAAGTTGAATGAAGTCGTTTAAATTACCGGTATGATAAATAAACAGATCAACATATCTACTATATTGACATTGATACTTCATAGTGTCAATAACGTCAGTTACGTCAGTGTCATGTTGACACAATAGTATAATAGGCGCGAAAGTCAACTTAGGAATCTTTTCAGCAGCAGGTTTTAGATCTTTTAAATATATTTTCCTTGCGTTTAATCTCAGTTACGTACGGAAACTGTGAGAGCGCAGGTTTAGATATTTTGTTATTTTGTATTACCTACCTAGTTATTCGACGTATAAAACTGTTAATATATAGCTCTAGTAGTTAACTAATGTTCTCCGTACGTCCAGGCAGACCATCATTATTCCATGTCCAAAGAATATCGTAAGGCAACTGAGATAATGTTTTCACGAGAACTTCAATCCTGTCAGATGGGAATTTATTAGGATCCACGTTTGTACCAAAGCTTACGTACCTATATCACGCCATCTTTGGAAGAATCCATGTAGGATTGGAAACCTGGAATCGATATTAAAATTTGTAATTGATTTTAAATCAGTCATAAAGAAATCTTACAACAGTATTTTACGAATGCAGACGAATGAGACACATTATAAACATTATTCCGGTTTTGTCAATGTATTCTCATGGATTAAGAGTTCTAGTTCTAGTAGTGTGATATCGTTCTTAGTAATATCGATCTAAGTGCATGCATATTTATTGAGTATGTAGATTTATAGGTAAATAATTAATAGGTACATTAATACGTCAGCCTTAGTACCTTCTCCGTGTGCGAAGAGACCTTTGCAACTGCACAATCGACGATAACCTATTTTGTATATGAAGTTCCTTGAGGATCGAAATATATAGGACGGCGTTTCACACCGTTCCATTGCCAAGCATCGATATTACGCCGATCCTGTAGTCATAAGTGACCAGGTCTCGGCTTCATATAGAAACATTGGAAATACCAGGAACTTTATTAGGCGAACCTTTGTGGTTTTAGTTACTCTCCTGTCTTTTCATACCTTTCCGAGCCTTTCAACTGCGGTCTAGTGATAGCGCAACGACGCTTGATCTCGTCTTCGCATCCTCCATAGTTTGAGATAGTAGAACCGAGTAGTTGGCTACCTGTTGTACTCCTAAGTAGTGAGTTCAGCTTAATCTATTATCATAACCTTCGTCTTATCTCTATTCAGAGCAAGGCCGAATTGGAGACTAGTAGTCTCTAGATGAGTCAACAAATCCTCTAAATCTTCTTTAGAATTTGCAAGAAGAGTGGTATCATCAGCCTATCGTAGATTATTTATCATGCGACCACAGACTGAAACACCCCTGTTCCAGCCACCAAACAATTCGCATGATGTATTCGGTGTAGGTGTTAAACAGAAGAGACGAAAGAATACATCCCTGACGAACACCGGATTCCGTCTTGAAAGAGCACCAGAGAGCATATCATCAACGATAGCTAAAACCATGTTCATAAAGTCGCCTTAGTAGTAATACAAGATGTTGTGGTACACCCATCTCTAATAGGACTTACCATATGAGCGTGTCGAATGCCTTACGGAAATCGACAAAGCATATAAAGAGCGGCGATTTAAACACTCTGGCTTTTTCAATAATTTGGCACAGTAATAGAATCCGTTCGCGTGTGCCCTTCGCGAATCCAGCTTGTTCAGGTACAATTTGGCGCGACAGATGCCTTGTGTTGAATCAAATCAAATCAAATCAAATCAAATCAAATTCTTTATTTCAAATAGACCAAAAAAGGCACTTTTGAACGTCAAGCAAAAAAGATATCATAAGGTTTAACTTTATGTGTCAGTCTGTCCGTCTGTCCTCTAGTGAAGCTATTTGCTCGTTCCAAAGTGTAGATTCCTATGGAGAAGAACGAGCAAGAAACTCCATGGTTACTCTTTTTCAATCACTTTTTACAATACATTGTTACATAATTTAGATAGCTCCATTATGTGAGAACAGTGTAACACTAGTGTCTAACCAAAGTATCCGAAAAAGAAATAACCCTCAGGGACAGCAACTTTAGACAGTCTCGAGTTGACCAGTCCCAATAGGCGGCGTCCGTTCACGAACATGACACGTACACCAGCACCGCCCAACTCAACCATATTATAGGGAACCGAGCGGTCCAGTGCCCGTGCCACCGCCAATGAGACTCCTGAGTGAGCATGACAACTCCCAACTGACACAAGTACCAATATACTATAAGTCTATAAGTCTAACTCAATTATAATAAGTTACAGGGCTCTCACATTTACAAAAATCCAGTTTATCAACAATCAACAACATGGTGAATAATTTAATAATTGAGATCAAAATTCCTCTTAACCTTAACAATTTTTATCCTGTGCAGTCAAACCAGCCACCCTCCAAGCATTTTTATCTTCTATATAATCATTTTCCTACATAATACTTTCTTTATACATAATTTAAATTTACTTTCATTAAGATTTTGTATTTCAGTTGGGATTTTATTACATTTAACACATAATCCCATGAACGACTTATGCACTTTTGCTAATCTAAATAAAGGCTGACTTAATCTATTTCTATGTCTAGTAAGATAGTCATGCTTGTCAGATACTTTTACAAATAGCTGTAGGTTTTTCCTAACATACATAATGTTTTCATAAATATATTGACATGGTACGGTCATAATGTTGATCTCCTTAAACTTTTCTCTGAGAGATTCGCGACGACCTAAGTTATAGATAGCTCTGACTGCACGCTTTTGTAAGATAAAGATAGACTCAACGTCGGATGCCTGTCCCCACAACAGAATTCCATACGACATGATGCTGTGAAAGTAGCTAAAGTACACTAGTCGTGCCGTGCCTACGTCGGTTAGCTGACGGATCTTCCAGACAGCATAAGCTGCCGAGCTCAACCGCCCTGCTAGAGATCTAATGTGGGGCCCCCATTGCAGCTTGTCGTCTACAGTAATCCCCAAGAATGTGGTCTCCTTTACAAATTCCAGTTTCTGACCATTTAATAATATATCATCGCATACGTTACTTTTAACATTTGGCAAAATAAATCTAATGCATTTCGTCTTTTTATCATTAAGTACTAAGTTGTTTTTTGTGAACCAATTATGAACTTTCGTTAAGGCATTATTCACTTCGTCATAGTTATTTGATCGTCTATTTAATTTAAAAATCAAGGATGTGTCATCAGCGAATAATACCATATGCGGTTCACTTTGGAAAAAATGGGGCAGGTCATTGACATAAACCAAAAATAGGAATGGACCCAATATTGAGCCCTGCGGTACGCCCATAGATACGCTAGCACCCTGGGAGTTTACTCTGTTTACTTGTACTGTAAGAAGTCTTTCTAGAAGGTATGATTTTAATAAATTTAGGGATACCCCCCGAATGCCGTAGTGTTGCAGCTTCAGTAATAGCGTTTCGTGCTCAACACAGTCAAAAGCCTTCGAAAGATCGCAAAATATTCCGATGGCATCCTGTGCTTTTTCCCACGATTTGAAAACTTGTTTTATAAGCGATACTCCTGCGTCCGTAGTGCAACGTCCCTTAGTGAACCCGTATTGTTGGTCATGGAAAATAGAATTCGCGTTAAAGTGACGCAGTATTTGAGTAAGTATCAACTTTTCAAACACTTTACTGAGCACTGGCAAAATAGAGACCGGCCTATAGTTATTGCGTTCTGTGCTATCACCTGATTTAAGTAATGGAACTACTTTACTATGTTTCATTAAATCCGGGAAAACCCCTTGATCTACACTTTTATTAAAAATTAAAGTTAAGTAAGGCGCTATAGTCTCTATAAAAGACCTGCACACTCTAACAGACATTCCCCAGAGATCTTCACTGGACTTTACTTTGATATCTTTAAACGCCTTTATTACTTCCTGGGGGTTTGTATGTTTAAACCTAAAGTCCGCAGGACATTCTTTGACGTTACTTCTGAGAAGCTCGACCGCAAGTGCTGGAGATGATTGCAACGTTTCCGTAGTTTTGATGGGAATATTTTTAAAGAAATTTTCGAATTCCTGGGCAACTAATGAATTTGTACTAGTAAATCCCTTTTCGGTTTTTAAATTAAATTCTGTCTTATTAGATTTGTTTCTACCTGTTTCATTATTAATTATACTCCAGGTAGCTTTTATTTTATTTTCCGCGGTCCGGATTTTACTGCTAATATAGAGTGATTTAGCATGCTTACAAACTAATTTAAATATTTTTGAATATTTGGAGACATGCCTACGAAAAGCCTCACTTTTATTAAATGGTTTCATGCCATATAGCTCAAATAACTTTTCTCTACTTATACGAATGCCTGGTGTAGCCCAGTCACAGAATAAAAATTTACACTGGATATTTTTACGTTTTAAAGGGAACATTTTGTCGAACTGTATTTTTATGATTGATAATAAGTTAGCATAGATCTCACTCGGGCATTCATTGTTTTGTAATGGGCTGCATAATTTATGTTTTAAATTTTTATTTAATGACTCAATTTTTTTGTTTGTTATCTGTCTGAATATAATTTCCTTAGTTGCCACAGTTTTAAAAGTATTAAAGTTGACTGTTAGCCCACTGTGATCAGATGGTAATCTGTTTACAATTTCATTATGTAAATAATCACAGTTACAAAAAATATTATCTATACAAGTTGCCGAGGTGGATGTTACTCGGGTAGGCTCAAGGAATATATTAGACAGATCAAAAGATTTAAAAAGACCTAATAAGTTTGTACAATAAGAGTTGTTTTCTAAGAGATCAACATTAAAATCGCCACATACTATTGTATACTTATTACTAGAACACGTTTTCTGTAATACATCTTCCATTACTGAGCAAAATATATTTAAATTCTGTATGTTAGGAGGCCTATAAACACATACTACAATAT